TATATATATGTATATTTTCTCCCTCATAAACGTCTCTCTCTCATGTCACTCCTCTCTCACTCCCACTCTCGCTCTCTCTTTCTCTCATCTTTCTCTCTGTCTCCGTCTCTGTTTCTCTCTCTCCTCTCTTTCCTCTCTCTTCTCACCTCACTCACTTCCTCGATGTCATACCCCCTTCTCTCTGTTGGTGGGTAGTTGGCGGGTGTTCAGGTGTGGTTTGCTCCTTCTTTCCTGTAAAAAAATCTGTCGTCTGTATCTCCCCTCCTTCTTTTTTGTGTTGGTTACTCTTTTGTAACACCTCTAATCTTCGGCACTTATATTCATCATGATCTTATTGTGTTGCAAGCGTCGTAAAACTCTTACTGAATAAAAAAACTAAAGTCTCTCTATTGTAACGTGATGATGTTACTGGCTCGTTAATAATTGCGATGATGACGTTGCTGCTGTTGCTGATTATGATGGTGATGGAGACAATAACAGAACTTGGCACTGTTCCGTCGAATGAGACGATACTGATAAGGCTTGTGTACACGTTGAAGAGGCGCGGGAGGGACTGGAGATTCTTCGTACGATGCTTTATTTTCACTGCTCATTCAAGGCACATGCCTGGGTTATTTAGATAATGACAAATATCACAACGACAGATTACCCCCCCCCCCCCACACATGATGCTGTGGAATTCCCAAAATATCACCCTTCGGCGCCCCTCGCTCTTTTTTTCAAAGATACGAGTAGGCCTATGCTTCCAACGTCTGCTTTGAGTAAAAATAAGTAGATACATAGAGATAAATAGATAAATAAATAAACATATAAATAAATAAGTAAGTAAGTAAATAAATAAAGAGAAATAAATAAATAAATAGAGAAATAAACAAATAAATAAATAAATACAAGAAATGATAATTGAAATAGAGAAGTAAACAGGAAATTGAGCATTCTTTGCACTCGCATAAAAACCTTGCCTTTTCATGCATGCCTTGGCCTACTACATCATGATGTGTCCTCTCATTACCCGAGATTTAAGAAAAAATATGTAGACCAGTGCAACTCAAACATAAACTATTGAGGTAGCCTAGGTCAACTTAACCCTCCTGAGCCCGCTACGATCCCCACTCGGCCAAAACAACCTCCATCAACTTTGGCTTGATATCCCGGAAATAGTTGACGTACCTGGCCAGAGAACTCGCATGGAGAAAACTAGGGCGAATGTTTGCAGAGACGTCAAAATGTGATACCGACAGCAGTCGGTGGTGTTCGAGTAGCCGATGGATCTATTTTGGATTTGTTTTCCTCTGCATGTTTGCAGGCGTTTGGATGGGTTGTGCTATTAAATATTAGAAATGTTGGCCTATGTAGGAACTGTTGCTATGCACTGGATTACTATTGGTGCTTGAAAGACGAGTTCTTTTTTTTTTTAACCATAGAGATTCTCGTCTTCATTGTTGTGGTTGTGAGTGTTAGTCCAGCACAGTCAACATGGCGACCAAAGAATCAAGTTTTAGTAGTTCTTCTGCGAGTCGGACTACGCTCCGTTTTGGATGGTTATGTGTTTGTGGGGATTTCTATCTTCAGTATTTCATATTCTTGTGTGCAATGTTATCCATGAATATTGTGGCTGTTTCATCAGAGGGCCAGGGATGGATAGGCCCCTCTGATAACCACGGAGGTCGCATCAAATTGCGGAATATTGATTTGGACCCGTCTTCTAAACGAAAGATCGGTGGGTTTCCAGTTCAAGATGAAGGATATTCCACTGATACTCGTCAAGAGCCCGCAAACCCAGCTGAAATTGGTGGAGTAATTATTCAGCAAGAGTCCCAAAAACTTTCAGCCAGACTTAGGTGGCTGAGCAATGAAGAAATTGGGATATTGAACATGCAGGTGAGGATAAATAATTGCGAGACAACTTGGCTTGGTTCTGGACTGAAATCTAGAATCTAGATCTAGATCTAGATCTAGATCTAATCTAGATCTAGATCTAGATCTAGATTCTAGATCTAGATCTAGTCTAGAATCTAGATCTAGATCTAGAAATCTAGATCTAGATTCTAGATCTAGATCTATGTCTCTTGTGTCTACCCGGTCTCAGTTATAAAATTATGCTTCTAGATTTTTAGATCTAGAGTCAGATCTAATCTAGATTCTAGATCTAGAGATTAAGGTTTTGAATCTACGACTAAAATTGATAAATAAAGAATTTTGAAGATTTACTTAGACTCTAGATCTAGAGAATCTAGATCTAGATCTAGATCTAGATCTAGATCTAGATCTAATATCTAGGACTAGACCTAGAGTCTAGATCTAGATCTAGATCGAATAACCAAAAATTAACATTAACCCTAACTTGTGGAATAAACTTCCAACATGATAGCCTCCTGGACTTGTCCTGTCTATTATATTTATATCATTGCACTAGATCTATTATTGTGAGGCCTTTGTTGTTGTCTGTGTTAAAGTATGTGGATACTTTCTTCACTATCCACGGTCCACAGTACAGGCACCAGAGTCTTTTAGTCCTTACGCTACAATGACAAATGCTTGTTTTTATCATTTCCCTTTAATTAACTTTAAAAAATTGATCTTGTACCTGGATCACTGGATCTCAATATTCTGCTATTTGGATTTCAACTACTGCCACTTCCTCCACTAACTCCGCTACCGCAACAGCGGGCCAGTAATGCGCAACGACTTTCTGTAGGCTACATAACCTCATCAAGATTGTAAATATTTGATAAGTGACTCTTACTTGAAGTTGTTTTCCAAACCATCAAACTGGTATGAAATTACCTTGCTTTGATAAATTGATTGTTTTTATCATGTCAGCATTCTGGGGTTAAACAGTTAAAAAAATAATTTGTGTTTCGTACTCGATCACGCGGAATGTTCCTCCAGTTTAAAAATTCTGAGTTGAGACCCTTCCTTGTAGGTTCATACTTAAAAAACTAACCTTGTACTTTTGGACCAATGGGGGGTTCCAGGGGGGCCTGCCCCTCTGGGGTAAAAGAAAATCTGGGGGGTATGCCCCCCCTGTTTTTACCTATAATTTGATATTTTACAGTTAGATTTGAAGTTGTCTTGAAAATAATTGATTTGCGACAGTTTTAGTGGCTTTTTGTGTGAACTGCAACAAACAGGACTGCAGTTTGACCCCTGAAGCAGTGCATCTGTGTGCGGGAGTGAAAGTAAAAAATTATCAAAAATTGTGAACAGTAATTTTCATTGCCTAACTGGGCTAAGATTTCAATGTGATGATCGAAAATTATAGAGATTTATAAGCTTTAATCTTTAACTAGATCTAGATGTAGGCCTAGTCTAACTGTTGGATGCCCTGGCCAGGCAAATTAATTGAAGGGCAAAACTACATGCGGCTAAACGTAGAATGACGCACCTGCCTGATTGGCTAGCCGTACTTAATATTGATGGCTGAATTGTAAATTAAATTTTTAGTTTGATATGCCTAAAGTATATATATGTATTTCAGACAAAACCAAAAGGTGCCTTACTCAAACTTACTGACTTGCATGTATTTGAACCTGAATAATTACTAGATCTAGATCTAATGAGACCTATGTGTACTTAACAGGCTTGAGTCCATAGGGCCAAACCTAGATCTAAGTACGGCTAGCCATTTCGTTGTGCAAATGAGTGAGCTACTGATTTAAAGATGACATGTATGTATAACTGATGGGAAGTCAGTTTGTTATTGTTTTTATGAATGGTTTTTATTGAATAGAATAGGCCTAGCCTACTCAAAATGGGTAACTGTTTGTAAGTAGTCTTCTGAGACAGTATGTAAATGTAAAGCAAAGTTTTAAAGTGTTTTTTTAAAGTTTGTTCTTCCGTGAACTATTTCTTACACTTTAATCTCTGTTATAAAATTTTGATGCTATTAATATGAAACAGAGTGAATGAATCAAAAGGGATTTTTGCTCAAAATTTACTTACAAGACGCTCTTCTATATTGAGGTATTGTGTTTCTCTTAAAATGGTAAGGTTATATTTTTATTAATTTTAAGAAATTGCTTTAAAAAAAAGTCACTCTGCAAGAATGTGTATACAGTGGTATTGGTATTGTTTAAACAGCAAATTTCTTTTCTGGCCAACGTAGTAAAGAAAACGCTTCTGACACAAGCCTCTTAAACATTTATAATGCTAAGAAGTCAGAAATGTTGAAAGAAAATAAAGCCTGTCACAGCTAAGGTAAAGAAGTCTTTTAAATGTTGTTTTCCGAAGAAAAAAAAGGGTGTGTGTAGCTGGCACTGATAAAACTGTTCTCTGTAATAGTTTTTCTTTACTACTTTGAACTGTTTTGTTATGACAGGAGTTTTAACTTCTTACTTCTTTATTGACTTGCAAAATATGCTTGGGGTAATTCTTCGAAAGGTTTCTTTTCTGTGATGTATCTTATGATGGATATTGTTTGTTTTGTATTCTTCAAGTTCATGTGTAGAACTATTTTTATGCTGGGAATATTTATTTAACCAAATTGATCACACAGTCATTTAATCTTTTTTGGCTTGTCTGGTTGCACAGCCTCTCAAGTTGAGTTTGCCGAAACTTATCTCCTACTTGTCTTGCACATGTTACTGATGTGTACAGTTGAATACTTGTAGATGTGGTTGTTCGTTTTGTTGTCTGCTTAATGAGTTTTGTTTGTGATTACTGTGTAATTAGACAAGTGAATGTCTTCTCTATTGAGCTGTTCTCTCAGAAGTTAAAGCGGTTTTGGTGGGTGTTCTGCCATGAATAGCTACATCTACCTCCTCTCTTTGGTGTTGTTTCATCATAAAGGGAATCTGTTCCTGATGAAAGGGCGCGGTTTTCGGTACTGTCTCCTCATAAATTTAAACTGTTTTCAAGACTTCTACACCTTTTTCTCCTCGTTCATCTTTAAATGATAAATAGATCATGTTCCAGTCTCTCATACAAAGTAAAGGCTGCTGTTAGCAGGAAGTCCTTCGGGCTCCCGTAAAGTTTTGGGTCTCCCTGCCTAGGGTTGGGCCAATAGCTTTTTTGTTCTCTATAAAAACCGTTGCTTTTTCAGTCTTTTTAGAAAAGTTTGTTATGGGGTCTGGTTGTTCCGGGTGGACAAGCGTTTTGTCACTTGCTTACAGCCAGCTACTATGCTTTGGCAAACAAGTAAATCACACACAAGCACCCTTTCATTGTTTGCCGTTGTTCTCGGCCACCATACTCAAATGTTAGCACAAGAGGCTTTCTATCGAGTGGCACTGCGATCGTTGAGTGGTAATCCCTGGTGGACGGCCAAGCAGTAGGTCACTGAGTAGTAGCACCCGGTCTC